CGCCGCCCTCCCGCTGGGGGCTTCGGGGTCGCCCCAGGCCCCAAACTCAGCCGGCGCCTGGAGGGCTGGGGACTGGATGGCCCCTGAGCCCCTAGTGATCTTGAGCCAGACAGAGTGGAGAAGTCAGAGCAGCTCGGGGTGGAGAGAGGAGGCCCAGGCAAGGCTGAGGCAGGAGGATCGCGAGTTCAAGCCCAGCCTGGGCAACCCGGCCGCTGAGGCGGACCAAGTCTCAACGCATAAAAAGGGGCTGGGGATGTAGCCGTGGGGCGGGGGCGCTCTGGGTTCGATCCCCGGTACTGCAAGGATAGAAATAAGACAGCTGCGGAGGCAGAGGCTGGGATTTACAACTGGCCGCTGCCTGGCTTCGGGGGTGTGCAGAAGGCTGGCGGGGACAAGGGGCGCCTGTCCGGGGCCACCACTCTGCCTCCACAGCCCCATTAGAGACCCTCCTGCCCCAGCCTCCCGGGATCCCAGGTGTGCGCCACCAGGCCGGGCTCACCCCCCGGACCCTCGGGCTCCCTCGCGGGGTGGGACAGGCGTTCCGGTGAGGTCCTGGAGCCTTCGGGCCCTTGTCCACCCCTTGCGAGGCGTGGAGGGAGGAAGACGCGCGGGTCAGAAGGCTCCCTCGGGCTGGGAACCCCCCGGCGCCCGGTTCCTCGGTGCAGACCCTAAGTGGCCTCCCCGGGGCTCCGGAGCGAACCCCGCTCTGCTTTGGCGCCCACCCTCCCCCCACCAGCCAGGTGTCCGGAAACCCGGGGGAGGGGGGCGGAAAGAGGTCAACCGCCGGCGTCAGGGCCCCTGCGGCTCAGCCGCGGTTGGCATGGCGACAAGGGGGCCAAAAAGGGGACCCAGAGCCTTTTTCCCTGTGCCCCGACCAAAGCCCGGGTCAGGAGGAATCCGGGCCCAGGCACGCAGGGCGGACGGCGCTCCTGCGGGGCGAGATTCCAGCACCAGGCTTGGGGGACTGTCAGGGAGGAGAGGGGGAGCCGGAAACCCGGAGGACCCCCAGGGGCCATCAGCGTGGCTCTGGGCTTCCCACAGGAAGCTCTGGGACTGCAAGGAGACCCCTGTCCCTTCTGCTGACCACGCCAAGTCCCTCTCCACCACTCCAGCCTCTTGATGCGTCTGTTCTGATGAGATGTAAATCTGGGCTGCATATGCTGATGAGATGTAAATCAGCACGCAAAATGAGCACTGATCTCCTGCTGTTGGAAGAGGGCTTCCTAGAAGGCTCTGGCTCAGGCCACGATGGGGGCAGCCAAGTTTTCTCCAGACTTGGCTCTGAAGGTTCAGGAGGCTGAGGCAGGAGGATTGCTATAAAACTGAGGCCAACCTTGGAGGGAGACCTTGTCTCAAAAATAACAAAAACAAAGCCAGGCATGGTAGTGCACACCTGTAATCCCAGCACTTGGGAAGCTGAGGTGGGAGGCTGAGGTAGTAGGCTGAGGCAGGAAGATTGTTGTGAGTTCGAGACCAGCCTGGGCTACAAAGTGAGTTCCAGGGCACTCTCAACTACATAGGGAGACCCTGACTCAAAAAAGAAAAAGAAAACATAACTTCATGGGCCTTCAGTGACTCGCTGCCCAGTTTCCCCTAGCACTCAGCGCCTGGCAGTGTTTGGTATGATCTGTTTAGCAGCCCCCGAATGCATTGGTATGAGGTGTTTCTGTGACATGGGCACAACTTAGCATAGGACACAAAACAAAACAGACAAGTTGCTTACTCTCGTGGCCCTTTTTTGAGGAAGGAGAAACAGACAATAAAGAAGTAAATAGCTGGGTGTGGTGCTACATCCTTATATTATTACCAGTACTCTGGGAGGCTGAGGCAGGAGGATCCAACCTCAGTGACTCAGTGACTAGGCAAGATCCTGGCTCAACAAATACATGAAAATAAAAAGGGCTGGGAACGAGGCTCAGCACAACGGCCCTAAGTTCAATCCTAGGTACCACACAATAATGTAAATAGGGTTTGATAGTACTAAATGCTAGGAAAGAAACAGAATAGGGAAACAAGACTGAGTTGGTAGGGAAGTGGGTAGGGGGACTGTTGAGGAAAGTCATCTAGAGAAACTGAAACCGAGGAATAAGAAAAGGTCTAGGAAGTGCGGCAAGTGCAAAGGCCCTGAGGCAGGGACAACCTAGCAGGTCCAGGGCCAGAACCCCAGGGGCCAAGGTGACTAGGCTTCATTGTATGAAGCATGTAGAGCATGTAAGAGGGGAGTGATAGCGGCTGGGGTGAAGAGGCAGGCAGGAACCCAACATGAGGGATTGTCTTCTCAGGGTGCTGGGAAGCGATATTTCTGCTAAGTCTCCTTATCTGAGTTCCCAAACACCAACCTGCCTTCTGGGGCTAAACAGGAAGTGCAGTGTCACTTGGGGAGCTCTGAAAGACCCAGGCTCTTTGGGGCCACCCTTAGGGGACGCCAGGTTGAACATCTGGATGGGGGCCCCACAGTGGTTTGTGTATTTTTATTTCAATTTTTGTTCTTTGAGGCAGGGTGCCACTGCGGAGCCTAGGCTGGCCTCAAACTCACAGCGATCCTCCTGCCTCAGTCTCCCAAGTGCAGGGATGACAGGCGTGCGCCACCACGCCTGCTGGCTGGTTTGTCTTTAAACTGAAGCACGTGCCCTCCAGCCCACAGGGGCTTCTTTCCTCCTTGCCGGTCCCCATCACCCCAGAGGGGTGGTCCCTGCCTCCGTCCCAGGAAGGTGGGGTGGGGGTCTCCATTTCTCTCCCTCTTCTGGCTTTCGCCACACCCCGAGGCCCTCTCACCCCGCCACCCCTCCGCTTGCCTCTACCCCGCGGGGGGCACTGGCCTCAGGTCAGGGCTTTGTGTGTTTCAGGCTACAGACAAGCGGAAGGCGCTGGAGGAGACCATGGCCTTCACCACCCAGGCCCTGGCCAGTGTCGCCTACCAGGTGGGCAACCTGGCGGGGCACACCCTGAGCATGCTGGACCTGCAGGGCACGGCCCTGCGGCAGGTGGAAGCCCGGGTGAGCTCGCTGGGACAGGTAAGGGTATGAGCAGGGGTCTCCCCCAACACCCCATGAGCCCTCAATCAGTTTACAGCACAAGTTCCTTCTCAGCCAGGCGCATACCTGTGATCCCAGCACTTGGGAGGCTGAGGCAGGAGGATCTCCCCAATTCAAGCCCAACCTGGGCCACCCAGAGACCCTGTCTCATATATGTCATACACTGGGGTGTTTGCTGGGCAAGGTCATCTCCAGCCCTGCAGGCACTGTTGCCCAGGTCCAGGGTCCCTGCCTTGCAGAGCACACCCACCTCCTCCCTTCCTGGGCTTTGACCCCGGGGTGGCTGTGGATGGCACAGCCCTGGGCCCCAGCCAGCATCTGCCAGCCCACGTGGCCAGGGCCTGGGGCGTGTCTTCCTGTCCCTCTCAAGGCCATGGGCTTCTCCCCAACCTTCTAAGGGGAAGTGAATCACTGCATGCCCCCCAGAGGGGAGGGGTCCTTTCCCCGGCACACTGGGCTCTCGGCAGCGCTCCCCCCCCAGGAAGTCCTTCGAAGGCCTTCGTCCCCCAGCTTCTCTTCCGGATCACCGGCCCGCGGGTCCCCCACCCCCGTCCCCACTGCTTCCTCCCTCAAGTTCCCGGACAGACCCCACTGTCCTCCCAACCCCGTCTCGCAGATGGTGAACATGCACTTGGAGAAGGTGGCCCGCAGGGAGATCGGCACCTTAGCGGCGGTGCAGCGCCTGTACCCAGGCCAGAAGGTGCTGGCGCCCGAGAGCCTGCCCCCCCTCACACCCTACTGCAGGAGACCCATCAACTTCGGCTGCCTGGACCACGTCGGCCATGGGGTCAAGGTACAGAGGGGCCCCGCCCCCTTCCCTTTTGGGCGTCTGAGACAGTCTCACTGTGAGTCCAGGCTGGCTCAAACGCTCAGCACCCTCCTGCCTCAGCCTCCTGAGAGCTGACATTACAGGTGTGCAACACCATACCCAGTGTCCCCCGTGTACTTGTCCCGGCCTGCAGCTCCTCTGTGTCCCCGTTCCCACAACCCCCATCCACGGGTGCGGGGTGGGAAGGGGAAGAGGGAAGGGGGATGTCGGGGTGTTCATGAGAGCGGGCGAACCGCATGAGAACGGCAGCTTCCTGTCTGGGGTGAGGTCACCGCGCTGTCTCCCAGAGCTGCTGTCTGTGGGAGGGCAGGACGCAGACAGGCACAGGGGCAGAGGGGCCGTCACCAGCACAGCACAGCCCTGTGCCCGCTGCCACCCTGATCAGATCTGGGTACAGCCGGGTGTGGTGATGCACACCTGCGATCCCAGCTACTTGGGAGGCTGAGGTAGGAGGATCACAGCAGATGGGCGTCCGGACTGGGCCACATAGTGAGTTCAAGGCCAGCCTGAACTACATAGTGAGACCTTGACTCCAAAAGGTCTACACGGCCCTGTTGATATCACCACCTGTCCTTCCTGTTGTCTATTTCGGGGGGCTCTGGGAGGAATCCTGGCCTTCGCCCACACAGCACTGCTCCCCCAAAGGGCCACACCCAGCCCCCAACTTGCCGTACAGCTTAAACTCCAGCTTTGTCTCGGGAGCGGGGAGCAGCCCCAGCAGCCCTCGGCCACCTCCCACAGGGGCAGTGCACCCCGAGCCCCCCTCGGGCTGTGAACCCCAGGTAGCCCTCG